GGGGGGGGGTCAAACGTCAAGTGGGTAAAAAAAAAATGCTTCCGCGCATCAAAACAGTCCCGAAGTCTTACAGCTGATTAGCGATCAGTCCATAAAGAAAAAGATGATAATGATGATGATGTGCGCGGGGATCAGTCAGCAGCCCCTACACCCCCCCACCACTCCGGTGTGATGGAGAGACAAAAGAGCAGATATAGTGGAGAAAGTGCAGCCGGTGGAAGATGAGGGGCGAGATAAGCGCGGCTCTCCCCGTGTCAGGGATGAGCGGATCGGAAGGCAGTTCGCAGATAATCCCCTCTCTCTCTTTTACCTCCAGTCCTTGTTCCGCCGAGTGTCATATGCGAGATAAGATCCAAACGATCCCGACTAATAAAGGCTCACTTCGGGGATGGAATATATTTGAGGAATGGTATTGTCTGACGCCGCCCCCTCTCTCCCTCTCTCTCTCCTTCCCTCTCCCTCTCTCTCTCTCTCTCTCTCTCTCTCTCTCTCTCTCTCTCTCTCTCTCTCTCACACACACACACACACGCACACGCACACCCACACACACACACACGCCTCCTCCCTCTCTCTTCACGCCCCTCAGCCCTCGAGCGCTCTCCCTCCCGTGGGAGTGTAGTGGGCAAAGGGAAAGCAGAGATGTGTGCATGATAAAAGGACGGGGAGAAAAAATAAATAAATGCCGTGTTGTGAGTTTGTGCACGTGCGCGGTTCCCCCCCCCCCCCCCCCCCCCCCCCCCCGATGAACAGATGATTAAAAAAAAAAAGAAAATTTAACTCCGTTTTATATTTAAGCGCAGGTAGGAGAGGAAGATAGAGCATGAGATTTTCAAATTAAAACAATTTTGAAGGCTTGAATCCTAAAATGTCTTTATTTTTCTATACATTGAATTTAAGATGAAATAAGATAAGGGATAAATGTTCCCATGGGGGTTATTCAACAACAGCTCAGTGTGGGAGAAGGAAACACCACACATGCTCTTGTTTGTGTCATTTTGGCTTTTAGAAAACAATACAAGTGTAAAACTTTTTTTTTTCAATGAATCAGACAGTTTATGTGAATAATATTTGAATAATAAACTTTTTTCATATTTAATTCCTTGTTTCCGTGAATTCTACTCCTTGTCACGCGTTTGATTTGCCACCATTTGTTTTGAATTATTCTTGTTATAAAGTCTTGTTTATGACTCACACAAACTGTCTGCTTGATTCCAATTTTTGTCAATTTGGACTAAAAGTGACAATAATACAAAAGACATTTCAACAGGAGCAAATGTCAGAGTTGAGAGTCATTTAAGATACGATAATATCAGATCAATCAGAGTGGCACCAGCTCTTTAAATCACAAATTAAAAATCGAAATCCAACCTTTTGTTATGATTAACAATGTCTTTTTCACTACTGTAATAGTAATACATGCAATTTGAAAGTCTGATCTCGAAAATGTTTGTATCATTTTAGCTTTTTGGAAACGAATAAAGAACTTAAAGAAAACAAGATCTTTTGAGGGTGATTTTAACAGGATCTATTTTTTGTTTGTCCAACGATTTAAATTGTTCTTTTCTTGAACAATTCCGACAACAACAACCACTTCATGTCCTGTTAGTTTAGCCCAGTGATCCCAACCTAGGGTTCACGCCCCCTTCAGTGTCAGGAGATAAATCTGAAAAGGTCCTGAGATGATTACAAAAATGTACATTTATCCTTTGGACTCTTCTCTCTGAGATACATTGGACGATTTGACATTTCCTAACCCGTAAAGTTTCCTTGGTGGAGCTGCAACTCAAGACACATCTGAAACATGACAAGGAGCTCCAACCAGAACTTTGTTGGATATACTCGCTCAGTGCCTCATATTTGAGATGGACGGTCTCAAATTTCTCTTCTCCCCCCCCCACACACCCACTGCCCTCCTCCCATCATGCATCCCAGTGCCCGGTGGCACCACCAGCATCGGGTCACAGGGGCACGGTTCCAGAGGAGGGACAGTGGCCAGTAAGTGTGGGGACTAGCTGCGCCTAACGAGGTGATTAAAACGATAAGGGGAAGCACGGATGACTTGCCGTGGCCTGCAGCCACCGTCGTGCTTATTGCCGCCACACACACACACACACACACACACACACACACACACACACACACACAAACACAAACACACACATTGTGAGTGAGAGAGAGAGAGAAGAACTACCACAGTGCCAGAAGGCCCATATCAGTGAACACTCAGCATGTGACCGTGTCTGAGAGAGAATGTGTGCACGTGTGTGTGTGCGTGTGTGTGTGTGTGTGTGTGAGATGACGGACAGCTAGCCTCGGGTTTCGCGGAGTGTGTGCGACACAGAGAGACTCACAGCGGGGTGTATCGGAGACATGTCAGGACCAGGAGACAGAGGCCTCCTGACAGCTGGAGCCCAAGGACACACACACACACACATGGCCCACCACCCTAATTGCTCCACAGACGGAGAAGTGGAGAAGGTCTATGCTTGGTGGTCTGCGTCAACTACCCCCCCTCAACCCTCAGTCCGCAAGGCCCTCGGCCAAAGACATGTAGGACCCCTCTAAGGTTGTTTTGTTTGTGCCTGCTGCAATTACATGCCACAGCTGATGTTCTGAGCGCGGAGACGGGGAGGCGAACTGCAGGGTGGTGGAGTCACCAGAGGATGGTCATTTCAGTCAGAGGGATGACGCTTGGCTTGGTCATGACGTTGCTGGTAAAAGAGGTTTTTGTTTATGTGCACTGAATCTCACATTAGGTCACTCTTCTGTTTAAGAAAACAGAGCATTATTCAGATTTATGAACATCCAGAAGATGATGCCTGCGGTTGCGCACGTCTGCGTGTCTACAATCCTTTGATGAGGGGATGAAGGAATAAGCTCACAGACAGCTCTGTATGCATATATGCAATGAAATGTGTCATGTCATGTTGGTAAAACCCCAAAACCCAGTCGGCAGAAAAAATGTTGCCATTGTGCATATCTGCAAACCTGCAAACCATGGGATACTTTGAATATCGACTTTCCTGAACCAAAAATATGTTTCATATCAGCATCGTGTCACGCTTGCAGAAACACACAATGACACATGGTTAACGTTGAGAAACAATTGGTTAGTTTTAAACTAAACTACTTGGTTGAGGTTAGAAAAAACATCATGGTCTTGTGTTGAAATAATACGTATGTACGCATTACGTATTGTAATGTAACAATGTCACGTAACAATGTAATGTAACAATGTAATGTAACAATGTCACGTAACAATGTAATGTAACAATGATACGTAACAATGTCACGTAACAATGTCACGTAACAATGTAATGTAACAATGTCACGTAACAATGGTACGTAACAATGGTACGTAACAATGTAATATAACAATGTAATGTAACAATGTAATGTAACAATGGTACGTAACAATGTAATGTAACAATGTAATGTAACAATGGTACGTAACAATGTAATGTAACAATGTAATGTAACAATGTCACGTAACAACAGTAACACTGTAACATAACAACGTAACAAGGTAATGTAACAATGTAACATAAAAACATAATGTAACAGCCGCAACAACGTACTGAGCATGAATAAATTGCTATACTCGTTATTAATACACTTAATTTACAACTGGGCTGCAAACCTCTGTAACACATTCATTTTAGAGTTACTTTTTACAGATTAAGATTAGGGGAAACTTGACTGCTCAACGCCAAGAACGTGGAAATTCATCATTGACATTTAAAATATGTAAACACACACAGTATCTATTGACATCTGGTCCTTTTCTCACAACGTAAAAAAAATCCTTTACTATTGCATTCAATGAATATTTCAACCTCCTAAGGTTATTTGTAAACCAAACTTTGCCACGATTGTTTCATTTCAGTTCTGGCAAGCTATGGAAATGAACAGATCCAACCTTTAACACTTCTTAAAAACTAAATCTAAATGCTTCATGTATTCGTTTTAGGGTGACATATTCCTTTGAAAAGACCACCTCAGGAACAGGAGTTTAGTCTGGGATGAGCTGCCCTCTCACTGCAGTTCCCATAATCATGCAGAAGTGGCACACACACAGGAAGCAGTACACTGATTTATGGTTATGATTATTCTTTGCAGGGCTTATATCGCCGATGCAGCTGAGGCCTGTTACTGCAGAGTTTCTGCGGAAATAAGATGCAAATTTGAGACCTGAGTTTTTGGAAGAGGGTTGCATTGTATTCCAGGCTAAGAAAAAAAACATTTAAAGTCCACGAAAATACCTTTTTTTTTTGCGCAGGTGGGCGTCGTTTTAAAAGGAGCTGTCATCAGAAAGTTGCAAAGTGACGAGACGTCTGTAATGGAGTTGTTTCTCTAATCAGTCAGAGTAGACGACCCAGCTGTCTGAGCCGCTTGTTACAACAAAAAAACACCTTGAACTCGCACGGCATACCCCCACCTGTCACCTATCACACGCTGCGCACACACACACACACACACACACACATTCAGGAAGCAGTGGGATGGAGCTGTGAAATGGGAAGGATTAGTCACTTTGTCAGGAGATGTATGAGGCTTCTCTCAGGTGGACGGCGAGCCACGGGGGGCATCTGGGAGAGGGGAGCGAGAGGAAATTAGAGGCCGGAGAGGGAAGACGGAGGGGAGCAGACACGGAGGTGAAAAATGAAAGTGTGCAACAAAAAAAAATGAAGACGAAGCTTGAGGAGATGCAGTTTGCGAGGCACAAGAAAGGAGATGACCGAGCATTTAGCATATAGAAACTCTTAACTTGACAGCGCGATCGCTCGGTGCAGTTCGTGAACGCCCAACTTGTGCATGTCTTCTTCCAGGGTAGTGAATTAGGCT